TTGGGGAGCTCCACCAAACACTGTCTACCATGGGTAACCATTATTGCATTTGACTTATCTCTCTCACAGTGTTCAGCATTACAGCAACTACGAGTTACCTCTGTACAGCAAATGGACAGACATGTGCTGTACCACTTAGAAAAAATGTTTGACCAAAACATTTAAAACCAGGTCTGAGGGCTGCAGATTAAAATCATCACCCAGTTTTAGCTTATAATTAATCTTGAAACCTATACTTGCACCAGGAGGCAGTCATCAGAGCAGAGCAAGGAAACACTGCATGGTTCAAAATTGGGAAGGGTGTCTGCCAGGGGTGTGTCCCATCTCCATACCTTTTCAATCTATATGCAAAAGAGATTAACCAGGAGTCTGGGCTCAGTGAGGAGAAATGTGGCATCAGGATTGGAGGAAGACTCATATAGTCTGTGTTATGTAGATGACACAACCTTGCTTGCTGAAACTGAGGAGGATCAGAAGCGCTTGCAGGACTGTAGCCTTCAGTAGGGATTGAAGCTCAATATCAAGAAAACAAAGATTCCCCCCACCCTTCTGAGCATGATGTCTTTCTCCAAGGATTGGTACTTCCTGGCTATATGCCCAAATATGTGACATAGAGCTTTAAAATTCTAGCCTCCAAGGAGAAACTTGGTTTCACCCTCTCCAAGACAGACCTATTTGTTTTCTTGGCAGTCTATGATATATTCAAGACTCTTCTCTACAACTCAAAGGCATCAATTCTTCTTCTGACATCCTTAGCCATTGTCCAGCTCCCTGATGCAAAGCAAGTAATTGCAAAGACTATGGCCTGCATCAAGTGCACCTTAGTCTCCAGACTGACATCATTGAGTCTCAGTACTCTGGAGAGGTCCCTGACAGCAGATTTACCCAAAACAATTCTGGGCAAGTTGTAACTGTTGTATGTAATATATGTGTATAACATACACGTGTACTTGTTGATATAACATACACGCGCACTTGTTGATCACCATATTATTTATTAGTAAAGTGAGTTAACTGCATTTTACAGGTGATAAGAGAAAAGAGTACATAATGTATTAGAAGTCACACTGGTAGTAAGTGGTTGTGGCTGTTGTGTGCTGTCACATAGGAACAGACCCAAAGCTGAAGCTCCAGCAGGTTTTCAGAGGCAGTAAATTGCATGGGAGGCGATGATAGGACCTGAATCAATTCTAGGATTTTCTGTTTCTAAATATTATACTTTTTTTGCTACATAAAATTTGTCTGTCAACCAGCAGTTAATATAAATATCTAAGGAGACAGGCACAGCAAAAAACGGGGGAAAAGATGTAAGATACCAGAGTATTGGATTTGTATTTTAAAATACGGTGTTTTTGTAATTTTAAAGTTCAAATATTTGAAATGGAATTAGAAGAATTTGTTAAAATTATAATTTGTTAACATTTCCAGTAAGAACATTGATCATGTTGTTTCAAATTAAATAGTCGCCAAAAATGGATTTTCTGTTTCTAGTTTTACAACAAAATTGGCTGCATCTTTAGCAAGATATCGAATCAAACATGATGCCCGTTCAATTTACCAAATCCTACCAGAAACTGTTAGAAAGCAGGAAATAAGGGCTTCTACTTTGCCACTTTATGCTTGGATAAATACTTGTAAAATCAGGTAAGACTTTAAGCAAATTATTTGTATTTAACCAGTCCTTCAAGATAATGTGATAAGAAAAACTCCCTTTTTGAGGGATAATGTGGAAGGGGTTGTTGGTTTTTGAGTGCTGTGATGGTGAGTAGGACTCACAGTGACCCTGTGAACAACAGGCCTGAACCACGTCCTGTGCTGTCCCATCCTCGTAATTTCTGATACACTTCAGCTCATTGCTGCAGTTACTGTGTCAGTCCATTTGGTTGAAGAGATTTCTCTCTTTCACCAACCCTCTGCCTTCCCAAGTGTGATATCCCTTTCCCAGGAATGGCCTTATCTAGCAACATGCCCAACATATGTGAGACAAACCTTTATCATCTTTGCCTGATTCATTCTTATGAGACATTCAGTACTCTTCTCCATCACAGCTCAAGGACAGCGATTCTTCTGTCATTCTTATTTATTGTCCATTAGAAAGGGTAATGGTTGGGAAATTATAGTTCAGTTTAGGACTTTATCATCAAAATACCAAAAGTAATTACAGTAACATGCTAACTTCACTGTCTTTATCTTTTAACTTATTGTTGGCTAAAATTTAAGTTTCTTTTATTGTTTATTATTATTATTAATTTTAATGAAAATTTATAGAGACTTTGGATTTCCGTTCATTCATTGTTGCACTTTTCTCCCTGCCCACACTCCCACCCCCAGTTTCTCTTCTCTTTGAAAAAGAAAAATTCTTTCACTGTTCTATAATCCCTCCCCCCAGGTCCCTTACACTATACAGCCTTCATTCTGGACTCCTGTCATGACAGTAATGCCTAATCATATATCCCTTTTAAACAGTTTTCTCCCTTATCTGTTTCAATGCAGTATACATAATTTATTCCATCTTTCTCAGTCTGCCCCCCCACCCCCACCCCGATGTCATTCCCATTTTACAACAGTGGTACTATATGGTATTTGTCTTTTTGTGACTGAGATACTTCACTCAGCATAATATCCTCCAGGATCACCCATTTTGTATAATATTTCATGAGTTCTTTGTTTTTCAAAGCAGTGTAGTATTCCATTGTGTGAATATACCACAACTTCTCTATCCATTCATTTGTTGATGGGCACTTGAGTTGTTTCCAACTCTTTGCTATTGTGAACAAAAGCTATGATAAACATGGGTGTGTATTTAAGTTCCTTTTAATTCAGTATTTGCAATTACTATATTTTTTTGTTTCAGGAAAATATCTATTCTCTTGTAATATGTTTGTAATTATAATTTAATATTGTGTATTTACAGCCTAGAAGATGTTTATTGTTATTTGAAGAAAAAAGGCTATCATAAAGTTAAATCTGTGTTGCATATTGATGATAAAGTCTTTGCTGTAGACAAACATTGCTATGATGTCTTAATTTTTCCATCTCATCTTAAACCTGATCTTCTCAACATAGATCTTTTCAAGGATGATAAGCTTATATTTCAGGTAAACTAACATTACTTTTGTTTTGAGTCCTTCCTAACAATAATGCTTAAAAGAAAAAAAAATCCTTCTGCTAAAAAAATGAAACCTAACACTTTCTATGTTTATCAGGGAGGCTTATAAGGCCTAATTATCATCATAGATAACATTAATACTTGTACTTTCAGTGTTTATATTAGACCTTTGCATTGTTATCCAGTGTCAAGTTGTAAAAAAATGTGTTTTCAGAATCCATGGACAAAATAGACCTGTGGGTTAGTGGTAAGGGGTTCTGCTGCCAATCCAAAGGCATGTAGTTCAAATCTACCAGCTCTTCCTTGGGAAAAAGATTGATCATCTCCTCCCTTGTGATTTATTGGCTCTGAAAGCCTTCTGGAAGGTCAGCCAGGAGTTGTGTCCAACTGGAAGACACATAACAGTAATAATAACAACATTTCTTGCAACTGAAAGACGGATTTTTTTCCCTCAAGAATTCAAGAGAAAGTACAATGACACTTTTTCTTCTTTCTGTTTTGGGGGCAGATATGTTGCTAGTGCCATCCTGTGTATGAAATGTGAAGGGAAAGGCAAGAGTACAGTGAGGACTTGAGGAGACACAGTCATAAATGGCATCAATTAATTGTAATTAAGATTGTAAAGCAAAATGTATATGAGTGAGTGAATGAAAACCAGTTAAAAGAGTTGTATTAAAAGAAAGAAAATCAACATATAAGACTATCTCATACTTTTACTTTGATTTGTAAGAAATATATAATAACTCTCTCTCTAGGTGGTCTTGACAGTCTGCAGTTGACTAGTAACAGGAAGGTTGGTGGATCACACTCACCCAGTGGTGGTGAAGAAGAAAGACCTGCCATACTGCTTCTGTTAAAATTAATAGCCAGGAATATCCTCTGAAGCAACTGTAGCCTGTGCCATAGGTGGTTTCTAGCAGCATTCGGTTTGTCTTTAGCTGGAAGTTGACCTGTCAACTCTTGTTTTTCAATTCTCTTGTTTTTCCAGTTCTAGTCCCACTCTTTACTATTACTTCCTGCTAGGGGAAAGTCTTTGAGCTTTGCTTCCTAACATGTCTCTGTCAACAAGTTCCAGATTTTGCATGCTTTAATGGCTACTAAAGCAAGAAAATAATGCAAAGTACCAATACAAGTTCAGGGAGCTCTCGTGGCTTAGTGGTATGGAATTTCACTACAAATGCAAAGGTATTCAGTTTGAATCCACCAGCTGCTCCCCGAGAGAAAAGTGGGCAGTCTCCTTCTGTGATTTGTTGTTGTTGTTGGTAAGTGCCATAAAGTCAAGTGAGACTCATAGTGACCCTATGAACAAAAGACCTAAACCCTGTTCTATAACTATCATCATTTCTCTATGTTCATAGAGTTTCCAGAGGCATGTGGTTTAGGAAGTGGATGTCACTCCTGCTCCTGAAAACCCACTGGAAGGCCAACTATGGGTCAGTTCTGACTCAGTGGTACACAAAAACAATAGCAATTTAAGTTCAATAGAATAATAATAACTAGAAAAACACTTGAAAACTTAAACTTCTTTTTTGTCCTTAGAGCCCAGTGCTTGGCTCAGACTAACCTTGGTTTTCCATAGTATTACATTCTTGGACAAAATCTCTTGGTCTTTTTTGGTTGACACCCCTTATCAAACACTTAGATCGATTGTAGAAATACAATCTATCAAACTTACTTCAATAAGCTTTTCAAACTTCTTGATTTAAGTCTCTAGAACTAGAAGAAATTTGAATGATGTCATGGGAAAAAAGAATGGCAGTAGTAGACAAGCAGATTTTCGTGAAGGAGTAAGGATGACAGCTAAGACAGGCTGTCACCAATCTCGTAATTCTTTATGCTTTGGGGATTTCCAAGTCATTATATGAAAGCTAAATAATAGCCATAATATAAGCAAAACAAATTATGGATTGTTTTCTTTAAGTATGTATGTTATCTTAATTCTTTTTTCTTTATAGCTTCATCTGTTTTAAACTAAATGGATTGGCTATCTGCTCAAGGTTTCCACCAAGTAGTTTCTATTTTTTTCCCCTTAGGCAAAAAGTAGTTGGTTCATGTTTCTAGCCATACTCTAAAATTCTAATCCCGTGATTATCTTGCAGGACAAATCTCGAAGTCTTGCTGTCCATTCGGTGAAGGCTTTACTGAATATGGATGATGACATCCTAATGGTCAATACAGGCTCATGGTACACAGTTGCTCACATGTCAGTCTTAACAAAGGAGAACACCTCAAAGATATTTGTTTGTGGCTTAGAAGCACAACCTAAAGATCCGAACCTGAAGAACCTTCTTGAGAAAATGGGATGTAAAAGTATGTACAAATATTTTGTTGGTAATAAGTTCTCCTAAGTCTTAAAGTATCAAAAATATTTAATTCAAAATGTAATTTTTGTAAAGTAAAAGCTATTTGTATGAACTATATGGTTAAAATCTTCATTAAGCCACCTGGATGGATTGATAAAATATATAGGGTTGTTAGGAGTCGCAGGTGACTTGATGGCACCTAACAACAACACCAACAAGAAGCCATATTATTTCAGGGTGGCCTTCATTCTTATTATTAATTAAACAACTGAAGGTTAACTTAATGAATATACACTGTGATATGGTGTTTAGCTGTTATGTCATTTGAGACACATATAATAGTTGTTGCGACACATAGTACAGCAACCCTATGTACAGCAGCTCTGAAGCCTGCCCTTTCCTGCGTCAATAGCACTAACTCCGACACTCCTACCCCTATTGCCCCAGTTAGTGCATCAATCCATCTCGTTCAGGGCTCTTTTTTTCCTGTGCTGTCCCTCCACCCTTCCGGCCATGATGTCCTTCTCCAAGGATTGGTCCCATCTGGCCACATGTCCAAAGTATGTGAGACTGAGCTTCAAAATCCTTGTCTCCAAGGAGAAACTTGGTGACGGAAATATTGGAAGACAAAGATACTATCTAGAACTACAAGTTAAGTCCCTTACCTTCTTGTTTTTAAATTGTTTTTTTGTGGTTAAAGATCACATCGTACTTTAAGTTCAGTGAGAAACTGAGAAAAGCTTTTGACAGATTCACAGGATTGGGGAGATAAAAAGCAGAATTCAGAACTTCACAAGAAATAGTCTGGTAAACACCCGAAACTTTACTTAGGGGCAGAGTCTATTCTTGGTAGAGATAAATCCTCCAATGAATTAAAGGCAAGAATTCAAAAATTTAAATTCTTAATTGGGTTAACCTGGTCTAGGATTGCTCATAAATGATCTCTGGAAGAAGCTACATCGTCCTAGGCTTCAAATTACCTCCAAAGGTTTTTCAAATATAATTTCAGACACTCAGTTAAAATAATGGTGAACCAAACAAGAAGGAAAGACATGGCTGAAAATCAAGAGATAAAATACTGCTAAAAATAGACCCAATAAGAAGCCAGATCCTGGAGGCATCAGATGTTGTGAGTTTTAGATATCATTTTGGCTGCACTATATTGTTGTTTTTGGTCTTTTCTTCCTTCTCTGTCTTTGTAATGACCTTTTGCACTCTTTCTGGATGATATTCTTGATATCCTCCCACAACTCATGTGGTCTTCACTCATTGGTGTTCAAGGCCTCAAACCTGTTCCTGAGATGTTTTGAAATTCAGGTGGGATAGACTCAAGGTCATATTTTGGTTCCCGTGGATTTGATTTCACTTACCTTAGCTTCAGCTTGAACTTGCATCTGAGTAGTTGGTGGTCTGTTCCACAATCAGTACCTGGCCTAGTTTTCACAGCTGATAGTTTCTCCAGCAGTTCTTTCCACAGATGTAATATATCTGATTCCTATGCATACCATCAGGTGAAATCCATGTGTATAACCTGCATTTATGTTTCTTATAAAATGTATTTGAAATGAATAAATCATTTATTGTGCTTCAGTCATTCTATCTCCAGCTTCATTTCTGTCACCAAGTCCGTTTTCCAACTACTGATCCTTCTTTTCTGTTCCCAACTTTTGCATTCCAGTCACCCATTATTATTAATGCATCTTGACTGCATGTTCAATTGATCTCTGACTGTACAAGTTGGTAGGGATGCAGCCTTAATATGGATTGAGGCTCAATATAAAAAAAACCACAGAGATTCTCACCACTGGGTCAATTGGCAGCATCATGATGGATGATGAAGAGATAGAGACTGTTAACAGCTTTAGTTTGCTTGGTTCCACAGTCAATACTCTTAGCACCAGCAGCCAGCAAATCAAAAGACATATTGTGATGGGAAAGTCTGCTGTCAGAGACCTCTCCAGAGTACTGAAGAGCAGTGATGTTACTCTAGAGACTAAGGTGTGCCTGATACAGTCCATGGTCTTTGCAATCACTTACTGTGCATCAGAGAGCTAGACAATAACTAGGGAGGATAGAAGGAGAATTGATACTTTGAGCTGTGATGTTGGAGAAGAGTATTGAATATACTATGGACTGCTAAGAAAATGAACAGGTTTGTCTTGGAGAGGGTGAAGCCAGGCTGCTCCTTGGAGGCAAGGATTCTGAAACTTCGTCTGACATACTTTGTACATGTTGCAAGGAGGGACCAATCCTTGGAGAGGACATCATGCTTGGGAGGGTGAAGGGACAGTGCAGAAGAGGAAGACCCTCTACGAGGTGGATTGATTCAGTGACTGGTATAGTCCAGTTAGATGTGTTGGAGACAGTGAGATTGGCACAGGATAGAGCAGGGTTTAGGGCTGTTGTACATAGGGTCGCTGTGAGTCGCAAGCGACTCGACAGCATATAGCAACAACAACAACACATTGTTGTTATGTGTAGAATTGAAGCTGACTCATAACTTGCCCCTAGTGAGTGGCTGTCAGAGGCTGTAAATTGCTTATAGGCCTATCCTTTTCCCTTGGAAAGTTAGTGGATTCTAACTGCTTGCTTCTGTGTTGACAGTACACTTCTTATCCACTAGGCTATCACTATACCTAGTTAGTGAATCAAATGTTAATCTTGGACCAGTGATGTCCATTTGAAGACCAAGGTATGCCTAATTCAAGCTGTGGTCTTCTCTATCACCTGCTACGAATTGGAGAACTGGACAGTGACTAAGGATGACAGAAGAAGAATTGATGCCTTTTAGTTGTGGTGCTGGAGAAGAATGCTGAAGACACCATGGACTTCCAAGAGAATAAACAGATATGTCTTGGAGAGGTGCAGCTGGAGTGAGTGCTCCTTGGAGGCAAGGATGGCAAAGCTTTGTCTTTCGTATATTGGGACATGTAGCTAGGTGAGGCTACTCATTGTGAGGCATCATGCTTGGAAAGATGAGGGGTCAGAAAAGGAGAAGGAAGACCCCCAATGAGATGGACTGACATGATGACTTCATCAGTGAGCTTGAGTGTTTTGTAGATGGTGAGGATTGCACAGGATAGGGCAGGGTTCAGGTTGGCTGTTCAAATGATCACTGTGAGTCACATTCAGTGTCAACAGCCACCACTGCCTTGGACCTAGACGCAAAAACTATGATGGAGAAAAGACTGAAGTTGTCAGTGATTTCATTTTATTTGGATCCACGGTCAACACCAGTGCAGAAATCAAAAGACACATTGGACAAATCAAGGGCCTCTTTAAAGTACTGAAGAACAAGGATATAAGTTTAAATACTAAGGTGTGCCTGACCTAAGCCATGTATTTTCCGAAGCTTTATATGCAACACAAATTTGGACAATGATTAAAAAAAACCTGATGCCTTTGAATTCTGGCATTTACAGAGAGTGTTGAATGTATGGTAGACTGTCAAAAGAGTACATGATCAGCCTTGAAGGGGGTGCAGCCAAAGTGCTCCTCAGAGGTCAGGGTACCAAGACTTCATCTCATGTACTTGGGACATTTTGTTTTCTTGAGAGGCTGGTCGCTGGAGAAGCACTTAGTACTTGGAAAAGTAGAGAGTTGGCAAAGGAGAGGAAAACCTTCAAGGAAATGAACACAGTGACTGCAACAATAGGCTTGAGTGTGGTGGAGATTGTGAGACGGCGCAGGATTGGGCATCCATCTGTGTACAAAGGAATGCTATGAGTTGGAATTGAACGCACATAACAACATCATAATAAGTCCGACTGATTAAAGTATTTTACACAAATAATATGAGTCTTCTACGTTAGCATGTCAAACCATTCCCTCCCCTGCAGAGTTTTTCTAAGTGTTGCTGTATCAGTTTTTAAATTTCAAAACCATTCTCAGGTGAAAGAGAATGAATTCCCTCTGTTAAGGGAATTCTTATATCAACATTGAAAGTTATCAGAGAAGAAAGACTTTCTTTTCTGAGCACATTAAAACAAGTTTTGTGGGGTTGTGGCCTTGGAAAAGGATTGAATAGATGTTACTGCATTCTGTCTAAGTGATAATATCATAATAATATTAAATGATTAATATTTTAAATTAGTATTTGAACATATAATTTTTTGTGTGTCTTTTTCTATCAGATATTGAAATACTTCACCAGACGTTTATGAACATCGATTCAAAGGATCACAGGTTACAGAAAGTTAAAGTGATTCTACTGCTGCCTCGTTGCTCAGGACTGGGCGTCAGTAATCCAGTTGAGTTTATTTTAAATGAACATGAAGGTACTTATTTAAATTTAATTATTGATAATAATTTGAAAAAGAAAATTATTCAAACTAATTAAAATTAATATTGGTATAAAATATTTATTATGAAGGAACTGTAGCTCTCATGTCTGAAATATTTATTAAACATATAATTCTTTACATCTGTTACATCATTTAATCCTTATTTGAGGCACTCTGGTAGCTTAGTGGCAAGAATCCCAAAGGCACAAAGTTCGAGACCACCAGCTGCTCCATGGGTGAAGGATGGGCAATCTCCCACATGATTAACTGCCTCTGAAAAGCTGCCAGGCGGTCAGCTATGGGTCAGTTCCGACTCAATGGCAAACAACAGCAACAATCCTTATATGAAATCTACAAGATGTGGACAAGGGTGTTAATAAAAAAAAATATTTAATGTTTGTAGTGATGAAGGTGGCAATTACTTAGAACAAATCCTGGACAGTATGCCCTCTGGTGTCAGTGCTCTAGTTGTTGTTGGCTGCCAGCCATTTACTCTGACCAATAACAACCCCATAAACAACAGAAAAATGCTGCTTGATCTGACACTGTGCTTACAGTTGTTGCTATGTTTGAGTTCATTGTTGCCATCACTGTATTAAACCATCTTGGGAGAGTTCCCCCACACCCACATTCCCCGGCTCCCTGCTTTACAAAGCATGATGTTCTTCTCCAGGAATTGATGTGAGGCAAAGAAGGTTCAGCATCCATCCTTCTAAGGAGTACTCTGGCTGTACTTTTATCAAGAAAAATATCTTTGTTCTTCTGGCAGTCCATGATACATTCAATATTCTTCACCACCAAGAATTCAAAGACATAAATTCTTCCTTAATCACTGCCCAGTTTTCTGATGAGTACCAGGTATTTGAAAACATGCTAGCTTGATTCAGGCAATTAGTCCTCAAAGTGACATCTTGACTTTTTTTTTAATTATTAAATTTTATTAGTTTTAATGAACATTTACAGGGATTTTGGGTTTTCATTCCTTCATTGCTGCACCATTCTCTCTACTCTCCTCCCCAATTTGTTCTTCCTCCCCCGCCATCCGAATGTCTGTTTTAATTGTCCAGTTGCCACAGTGCTTGTCAAAGTCAGTTCTGATTAATCTCCTTTGTCAGTGTGTCCTTTGCCATTCCCTATTACTCCTCCCTGAT